GCATGACCTTAAATAGGATCAGTTTTTAATGTAGCTTTTTTAAGACAAATATGTTTCAATTGGATATATATCTATTATACACATTTTGGTCTTCAGTAAGAAACAGATGTTCACCAGGAGAAAAGTGACAAGGCTTAGCTGAACTGAAAGTATCAGTTGTACTTTCAACCAGCTGATTCTACATTTCTGAAAATCTGATGAAATTAAAAGTCATATAAGCTTGCCTTCATTAATCTAATGACTGAGGTTTGAAAACACTGAAATCAAAATGTTATTTATTCAAGCACTTAGTACTGTATTTTTTTTTTTTTTTTGTATCAAGAGCTATGGAATTAAATGCTTAAATATTTCTGAGAATAATGGCTAAAAATCAAGGAATGGACACAGATGAATGTTCAGGGTCAGGTTGGATGGGTCTTGGAGAAATCTGTTTTAGTGGAAGATGTCCCTGCCCATGGCACTTTCCAACTCAAACCATTCTATGCTTCTATGCATGCCTTAGCTATTCATGCTTATTCACTTTCCCATTGAATCTCTGAACACAAAACTGAACAAGGTCAGAAAGGACTGAATGCAGTATAAACAGAAAGCGAATGGGGGATGGAAGGAGCCTTGCCACCAGACTGGATATACACATCATGCTAATGAGTTACTCTGTTTTCTCCCCCCAGTTTTTGCACAGTCATTGACCCACACTGCTCAGAAAAAAATTGAAAGCATTTATTCTTTAGGCTGATGAATATAACTAAAACTTGTTTAAAAAATTAAATACAGACAAAACCACTTCTTAAGACATTAAAAACCACTGACATACATAAAGAAAATAATTTCATTAAAGCCATCATAAAATAAAAACATTATCTAAAAATAATAACCTTGTTGGTTTTGTTTTCCGCAGTGTTTCTCCTAATAAAATAATTTAATTGCAGATTAGTTTTGTTCTTGCAATCCCATTGATAGATTTTAGGCAAGTGACATACATCATTAACTGTATTGTGTAGGATATCACATTTCAGAAAAGAGCTTTGTCTGACCAAGCTACTATAGCCTGTCTGATTGTTGCAAAATTGACATTAAATGGAAATGATACCTGGACATATTGAACTTAATGTTGTATTTTAAAATACCATGAATAACATTACAGTTGTTTTAATGAAATTCATTTTTAAAAAAATCATTAAACTAAGCAAGGATATTAGCCCTGGTGTCCTGATCAAATTCTAATCTGACTGATTACACTGACACCTACTATTTTTCAGTTGCTTGAATTTGCTGTGTTTATGTACCTCACTGTTTGCTCATTGATAAGTTAATGCCCTACATCATCTTCTCATTGCTGCCTGTCACCCCAGAGCTAGCTGGCTGTCACTCTTGACTATACAAATACTTTTAATGAAGCTGTAGCTACAGTGCATGACCTTGAAAAGATCCCTTTCAATCTACCTTCCCACAGCTCATCAGTTTACTTAGATCCTGCTTAACCTAACAAGTGAGCATAGATATAACTTATACCAGTTTTTGTTAAACACACAGCACAACCTCACATTCCCACTCTGAAATAATGAGATGTTGAAGTCCATTAATAAGTGCATAAAGCTGGACATAGAGGTATCCTCCCTCACACTGGTGCTTTAGTTTAGGTCAGGAAAGTACTCCGAGCAGTATTTCCTCATGACCTCCACTTAAGCATGATTTGCTTCAAATTGTGAGGTGATGTTTGAGAACACCACCTGAAAAGGATGAAATTTAAGTGAGAACATCTTCTAGGAGCTTATATGCCTCAGCATCAATTAATTATAGAGACAATGGCCCTGGAGTAGAGAAAGTCTAATGTTAAAAATAAATTCCCAAAAGATAGACCTCAGAATAAATTCTTCTGTTCTATTGTTCTGTTCCTTTTGGTTCATATAATCTGCATATGGACACATGGTCATATTCAAGTGCTTTATTCAAATAAGCAGATCTGCTTTGTATTATCTCGACACCAGCAGCCGTGCCACAAGCAGCAGTGGCAGTGATTGAGGCAAGTCTGGAATGAAATTGGTCTTGATTTAGTTGCACAGGGGCTTACTGATCTCTGAGGCTCTCCAGCAGCAGTCCTGAGTCCAGAAGCTCTCAGCAGCCTATCAGGTGAGCAGGAGGTGGTGCCTGGAGTTGAGTGGGAAATTAAAATGTGTCTTGGGAGACTGAGCAACCAGAGTGTAGCAAACAAGGTGGGCAAACAGCAAGTGGTGCTGCAGAGGGAAGGCATGGCAGTTTGCATGGCAGTTCGCACAAGCAGGGCACAAAGGAAGGATGCAGCACTGAAGAAGTGAGTCACTGCCCACCTAATGAGAAAGGGTCTAACTATGGTTTCCACTCACTCCAAAGCTGTTGTCAGAAGGAATGCAGAGTCCCAGACAGACCTTGGGCACTAACATGCAGCTGTCCAGGTAGGGAATGTCTAAATTTGGCCAGATTTCTAAGGTCAGTAGAAGTGATTGATGCATTAGGTGTGAACAGGTAGATGATCTACTTAGCTTGGTAGCAGAGCTGAAAGAAGAAAGAGGGATGATAAGGTGTGTCAAGGAGCAGGAAAGGGTCAACACACTTAACTAGTGTGCCCTGGTTGAAGAGTTATGAAAACAGGTGGCAGAGTTACAGGAGACAGTTAGGAGACTAAGAGACATCAGGGAGGCTGAGAAGGAGCTTGTTGCAACCCCTGGGGCAGAGGAATGACAGACTGCTGAGAACAGGTCAAAAATGCATCCAGAGAGAGCAAGGAGGTCACTAACACTGTGCCCTGGGAACTAGTAAAAAGAAGAAATAAAAGGAAGCGAAAAGGAGCTAATAAAAATCAGTGATCAGCTTCAAATCCAGATGTCCACACCCAACTGGGTATTCACACACAGAACTGCTTTGTAGCTCTGCAGTCAATCAAGGGAATGACCAACATGCATGAACAACTGGAACTAACTGTGGCATCCCACCCTGCCATACATACATGGAAAATTAAATCTAGCTCAATTGAGAACAGGAGGCAGGTGATAGTAGTAGGAGACTCAGTCTTGAGAGGCACAGAAGCACTCCTCTGTTGCCTCAACCTGCTGTCAAGGGAAGGGTGTTGCCTCCCGGGAGCACAAATCAGAGATGTTACAGTGATGCAGCTAACAGAAGCCTAAAAGGCCTTAGGAAAGGCAACAGAGCCCTGGGGGAGATGGTTAAGGGCTCTGGTTCACAAGTGATCTTTACATCAATTTGTCTGGTCCAGGGTGAGGGGCATGTGATGACCAGTCAAATCTGCAGGTCAACAGTTGGTTGGAACAATGGTATCAGAGTCAAGGCTTTGGGTACTCAGTCTTTGGGATTTACTCTGTTAAGCCTGGTCTGACAGGGACCTTTAAGAAGGCTTAAAACTGATTTGTTGGGGGAGAGGTGCACCTATCCATCAGCTGGATGCCATGACCCAAAATGGATGCCTGGAGCAGTGCAAAGACACTGGTGTAAGTCCAGCCAGTATGTTGGGTTTATCTGGGGGCTGGCTCAAATGTCTCTACACAGACATATGTAGAATGGGGAACAAGCAAAAGTAACTAGAGACATGCATGCACCTGTATAGATATGACATTCCTGGCATCATAGAGACATGGGGGGATGGCTCCTGTGACTGGACTTCCATTGGAATGGAAGGCTTTAGGCTTTACTGGAAAAACAGTCTGGAGAGACAAGGATGGGATGTAGCCCTCTATGTTAATGAGCAAGTGGAGAGTGTGGAGCTCTGCCTGGGGACAGATGAAGAGCCAATTGAAAGCTTGTGCATTGGGATTAAGGGTAGGGTTGGGACAGGGGATGTTATAGGGGGGATCTGCTACAGACCACCTGATCAGGAGGAGGATATGGACAAAGACCTGTATAGGCAAATGAGAATAGCATCAAGGTCACAATCCCTGGTCCTCATGGGGGATTTCAATCACTCCGATATTTGCTGGAAGAGCAACATCACGCTGCAGAGGTGATCCCTGAGGTTCCTCAAATGTGTTAATGATAACTTTCCTACACAGATGATCAAGGAACCAACAAGAAGAGGAGCCAGGAGTGTAGCCAGCAGGTTGAAGGAGGTGGAACTCTCACTCTATTCTGCTCTCATGAGACCCCACCTGGAATACTGCATCCAGTGCTGGTGCCCTAAACATAAGAAGGACATGGAACTGTTGGAGCAAGTCCAGAGGAGGGCCATGAAGTTGATAAGAAGACTGGAGCACATCCCGTATAAAGACAGGCTGAGGAAGTTGGGGCTGTTCGGCCTAGAGAAAGAAGAGTGTGTGGAGACCTCATAGCAACTTTTCAGTATCTGAAAGGGGCCTACAAGGGAGCCAGAGAGAGACTCTTTGTTAGGAACTGCAGTGACAGGTCAAGGGGCAATGAATTCAATTGAAGGAGGGGAAATTTGGGCTAGATATTAGGAAAAAGTTTTTTATTATGAGGGTGGTGAGTCACTGAAACAGGTTGCCCAGGGAGGTAGTTGATGCCCCAACCCTGGTAGTGTTCAAAGCCAGGTTGGATAAGGCTTGAGCAACTTGGTCTAGTGGAGAGGTGTCCCTGCCCATGGCATGGGGCGTTGTGACTAGATTATCTGTAAGGTCCATTCCAACCCCGATAATTCTATAATTGTGTAATTCTATGATCTTACTAGTTTTCGGTTTAAGGTTCAAAGTCTGTATTTGAGTATATTTGAGAAAAACCTTCTGATATTGCTAAACTTGTTTACAGTTTTAGAGACTTTGGAGAGGAAAACATTTTGAACATCTAAATTCTGTGTCATTGAAAGCCTTTAAAAATGTAGGATCACAATATAGAACTTCCCTGTTTAAACCTTCAGGCAGGACCTTCAGTGGTGACCTCATAGAGGAGTTTTTAATGTGTCTGTTGCAACTCAAAGTTGTAATTTCTAGTGTCATTCCCGTGAGCACAATCCATGCCCTTTAATCTCACATGCTGTTGCTGAAATCCAATCCAGACATTCATGCACACCTATTTTCCTGTTCAAGAAACCAGACACGTTCATCAAGGAGCATATAAAAATATTCAAATCAGGCTTATATTTTTATATGCATTTATAGAGATTAAAACTTAAAAGCTCAACAAAAACTAAGGTAGGAAAGAAGCAGTGTCATATCAATAGAAGAGTGTCTTTATATCACTTTGCAAACAGAGCATTCCTTAAATCCTCATCTATTGGTAATAGTAGGTGAACAATTGTGTCCTGGTCCTTTTGAGGTCAGGTGCAATTCCTTGTTCTCTCACCAGAATAGCTGATTCCACATGCCTCTCATCTGTTATATAAGCACATGGCACTGCTGTTTGAAGCCACAAGCTGTGTGTTAAACTGCAGCTCGATTGTCACCATTAGGGTTTTGTCACAGTCTGATTTAGGGAGAAAGTCAATGATTTGTAAAACAGAACTGAAGTTTTAAATGTGCATAGTCAGATCAGATGAACAAGAATAATTTCAGGCTCAACACTACCTTAGACCTTCATCAGGTAGAAGACCTAAGGCAAAGAAATGGGGAGAAGCATGGTAGGATAAGCAAAAGAGAGTAGAGAGGGTCATGTGAGAACAGATGCTAATGAACACCATTTTATTTGAGTTACATATTTCTGCACGGAAGTCAGACATTCAAAAGTAATCATAGTGTGTATTAGGAGCATCTTAAGATTTCCATATAGGATCATCTTTCTGTTTTCTCCACTTTCAAAGCTTCTGCTTAAGATTAAGTATATTTTCCTTTCAGCACCAAGTCACAACCAAGCCATTCTGACACAATCTATAACTCATTCCCTTACACACATATACGTGCATCAATACAAACAGCAAGGAACAGGCAAAAGGAAAAATGTGAGCAAAGATTATTAAGAGAGAGTCACAGTCAGTGCCCTAGTAGTCAAAGATATCTGATGCTCTATGGTTGGTGATAGCCGAAACCTCGTATACAAATCTTGCGTACAAATCTCACATGTATACATTTCTTGCATGTCCCCATCTTACCTGAATACTCTAATAACACAGTCCCTGATCTTCAGGCAAAGATATTCTCATACGTATTTCTTTATTTTAACCAGGTTTTATGTTTTTTTTTTCCAGTCTGAGGCTGAGAAACCTTAAGTGAAATCTGGTATATTTAGGAAAAAAAAATATCTGTTTAATGGCTGGTAACTTCCAAAGGAAAAGATGGGTTTTGACACAAACATCCTGACTTAAGCTTTTTCCATGTTGAACATATAACTTCTAACAAAACTAGAAAAAGTTTTTCAAGGAAAAACAAAGAACATTTGGGTGTGACTAGCCAAGGCTGTTTTAAGTTCTATAATATATGAATGAAAAGTACTGCAAAGACCTTAATTTGTTACGAGTCCTAGTTTATTGCTCTTTGATTAAATCTCAACTTGTGCTAATAATTCTCAATAGTACTGTACAGCATATGCTACAGAAACCCCTGAGGTAGCTAAGCAAAACCAAGCCAAAAACAGTGGAGAAATTGCTTACCTGTCTGAACTCTTCAAGATCTATTTTGTTTCCCACCAGCACCACAAGGATGTCATAGTTGTGCCTTACACGATAAATGAGTTCCTTAAACTCAGCAGCTTCTTGAAAGGATTGGCACTCTGTGGTGGAATAGCAGATAATGAAGCCTTCTCCACTTCACATGTATTGGTCCCTCATGGGTGTGAATTCTGCCTGCAAAATAGGAAGAATGTGCTCAGTAATTTGTCAAAAAATTTATCCATTCATGAGTAACAAGCTTGCTGAAAACTTCCCCATATTCCTACATAATTTCACATTGCTTGTTTTATTCTTTTAAGTACTGCTTGCTGAAACTTGTGCATCCTCCTGGGTTTATCGCTAATAATAAGGTTTTCCCTTAGGACTCTTTTATCATTTTTCGCATAAGAAAACTTTGGTCTCTAAAAACCTGAACTTATTATGCCTGAGCCTGCATACAGAAAACACTGTCTCATGCATTTCCAGAACCTTCTGCAGTACTGTTGGTACAAATAGATGACTTGCAATGGAATTAATATTTCCAGGTTTAAAACAAGTGCTATATTACTATCTAGGGATCAGAGACAGGTACAAATTCCTTATTATGCCCTCAGTTCAAAATCTCAGTAATATAAAAAATATATCCATTGACTCCCACCAGCTTTGGAAAACAGTGCCTAGCAAAACAGGGATACAATCTGCAAAAGGTTCTGCTCTTTCAAAGACTCTCAGAGAAGCTGAGCATTTCAGTTCAGTGTGGGATAATGCCATTAAATGAGAACTAAAAATTTCAAGTAGTGTGAGAATTGGCCCACTTTTCTCCTGATGCAATTTTTTCCTTTTTATGTATGTATTTATTGTCACAGCAACACTTCTGATTACCAATACTTTTTTCTTTAAAGAAGACTATAACAACCACCACATTGTGCAAAAATCAAGACATAGTTTTCAAAAACTAGTCTCAGGCACTGTGGCTTGAGAATATGTTTTAAAGCCAGTTTCTTTCTCAAGTTTGTTTGTGTTTTTTGATCACAGCCCAGAAATAACCCAATACCATGGCAACAGTCGGTCAGGATCAGAATCCTCCTGACAGAATCAGTTCTCCAGAGATATTAAGATGCAGGAAGGTCTGATAAAAAAAGAATACATATATCAACATTGGACCATTACTATGAGCAGCAAGATGCAATATCAAATCCTGTATTTTTTACTCAATCGAGAATTTAGCTCAGATTTTAAAAACAGTTTAGGTTACATATATATATATATATTTATATATAT